GAGCAAAAAAAAAAAAAAAAAGATTAAATAAGAACAAGGCCGTGTTGTTTAGCAAATCTCAATTTTCTTTTAATGTCTTGGGGATAGTTGCTTGGGGACAAAGAACTTTAGGCATAAGATTCTCTGAATGCAGTATTACTTACAAATTAAGTTGCAGGAAAGTTTCCATTACTCAGTTTAAAATAAGGAAGATGAAGTTGCAGCTTTTTCTGAACACAGGTAACGCTATTTTCGCACTCCTCTCACTGCTAATTTAAGTTTTTCGTAGAGCAACTCAGTAGCATTACTTTAAAAGAATGCCAGCTAATTCTCATTGATAAAGCAGTGTAAAAATACTCAAAACATTCTACGTTTAGGTTATTTTAAGTTTCCGTTAGACAAATGACTATGCAATACAGATACAGTTTTACATACTTCTGATATCAAATGTCCAGAGCAGTATTTGTGCTTGGATTTCTCTTCCAAATTGAAAGTTGTTTTAATTTAAATAAGAATATTTGTCTTTTCCTCCATATAAGCCAGCGAGATTCTTTGTTTTGTGACTTACATGAGCATCTAATAAATTCATGACTTTACTTGGAAGCAAATACTTTTGCTGTAGCTAGTGATGCTGTATAACCTTTGTCAGTGGCTCATGTTTGTCCTTGCTTCTGAGCTTACTGCTGTTAAAAAAAGAGTAAGAAAAATCCAGTTTGCTGTGCAAAGAACATGTTCAAGGCCTAAGGTACTCTTCATTTCTGTATGTATTTCAGTATGATGATGAACTACTATTACTTTCACTGTAGGCTGAGAGAAAATCTCACTTTTCAGGGGATATGCAGTGTGCTGTTTTTTCTTTCATAACTCTTTAGTTCTGGCGTGCAAATGATCACAGGGTGAGCATCTTTATCTGACATTAGGTGTGTTGTGGATAATCTTAGTTTTAATGAGTAATTTTCACTAACTTTCAAATGACATCTGTATTTTGCCTTGTGTATGTAAGTTCTCAGCTGTTCAAGGTACACTCTTGCTGACCTCTTGAGTTGTTAATGTACACTTGAGTAGGCTGAATGTTCCTTGGGTATGCTGAAGATTGATACATCCCAGGCCTTGACAGCTGCAGTGTGTTTCTGTGCCAACTTCAGGCAGTCTAAGCAGCCCTTTTTCGGAAGAAATTGTTTGGCTCCCAAGACCATTCAGGGAACAGCCTTACCAAGCCCACTAATTGTGCCAAGAGCTTAAAAACGCTGTTCAAACTTATTTTCATCTTAAAACTGTAATAATTTCTGGCTAATACTCATTCTGTTATACAAAATGCTTCATTACTTATAGATTTAAATTAAACAGTTTTAGCTATTAGAATGTTTCGCATGTTAGAGAGAAGAAAGTCACATTTTATGGGAACTTGCCATTCATTGACTAATGTTTTACTAATGTTTTACTGACGTTTTATTGTCATAATGACAAATTTTGTACATTTCCTTGTTAACTTTCTTTTTATATAATAAATCTCACAGATTTTTAACTGCAAATTATGTTTGTTTGGTTTTTTTTTTTTTTTTTTTTTACTCTTAATATGTATTGGAAAGTGCATTTGTGTCCTTATTCTTTTGGCAGAAGTTCACTTAGGCACGACACTGCTTTGTTTTGTGTGCATTTACAGAAATAAGAATATGTAGTGAAAGGCATTTGTAGATTTAGATTTAGATTGTATCTGCTGATACAATTACAGCATTCCTTTATATTTCTGTGTGCTCATTCATAGGTTGCAGTAGTAACTTTAAATACCTGCCATCATCAAAAAGAAACAGCATTTATTGAAATGGTGATGTTTTGCAGTTCTGGAAATTCCAGTGATTTTTCACATTTTTCCAGGCAACTTGGAAAGATTTTTGTTTGTTTGTGTTTTTCTTTTTTTGTTTCTTTTGTTTTTGTTGTTGAAATGGTCACTACCTAGCCTGTTCTGTTTGGCTGTTTCTTTGAGATGTATTTAGTGCGCGCTGTTCACATTTCTTACCGCAAGCAAGCTTTTTTATTTTTAAGTTAGGATGCCTTTTCATTCCTGCCTCATCTACCATTCTTTCAGCACAGACAGAAATGTTGCAGAACTTCGTTGTGTAAGGAGTGGCAATTTCACTGACATGAGTACAACTTGGAGTTGATTTTACTCTTCCTTGGACAACTTTGAAAGTAGTCTGTGGAATAGTTATAGGTGCTTTGACGTTAATCTGAACTGCTTATTCAATTATAAAAGATCATTTGTACCTGAGTGTCTGTGTTCTCATTAGGAAGACAATGTTTGTTGAAACTTCATATTTTATATATTATCAAAAGGTCAATTTCTGGAAGGCTTGGCAAAGTTTAAGTAGAAACTATGTTGCCAGAGACTCAATACATGTGGGATACTCCAGCAAAAATCACAGGAGGGATGTGAACATTTCCCTCTTGTTATATTGTACATATATATATATCTTTTGTACATATTTGTTCATTAGGAACAATTCAGTCTATGTTATTGTAAGTTTCCATTGTTGGGGTTTTTTTTGTAATGGAGGAATGCTATGCCTAGAAGTATGTGTCTGGAGGTTGTGCACTATTCTGTCGTCTTGTCATGCCTAGTGCTGTTCCCAAGCTGGGACCTGAGGTGTGTGGGAACCTGCAGGGTAGGACAACAGGCAGCTGCTGCTGCTTGTAGTGAGTCTTGTGATATTTGATAGTGCTTCTTGGAGTCATGCAGAAGCCCAAGTGTCTCAGCTCTTCTAATAAATAAATAAATAAGCAGAAAACCCAACAGCTACTTCTGTGGTCTCGTATACTGGACAGTAAAGGGAAAAGCTAAGGAAGTGTGATGGTAAGCAAATGCCGAACTTTAAACAGGCAAACAAAACTGAACTTAACAAAGCTTGTGAGCTTATAAATTGGGATCAGAAACTTTGATTGTTTGTTTGACTCAAGATTTTTGAGCCTTTGCATGTGGAATACTGTTGGCACTTTGTTATATTTGGACTTTTCCATGCCGTAATGACCTTAGACTAATTTGTAAGTGTTTTTAAGTAGTTTAGTGTAAGAATATAGAGTGAATTGTGTAGTAAAGATATAAAAAAATATTCAGGCACTATTATCAGTTCAGTTCTGCACTCCATATTGCTGATTCACTGAGAGGTTTGAATTGAAATTATTTTAAAATCAGTTAGACATAGTTTGTTAGATATAGTGGTTTATTCCTGTTATGGTTCAAAGATTTCTTTATACTCAAAGTGGTGTCATTTAGAGTGTAAGAACTACTGACTTACTGTCCTTCTAAATAATTGAAAAGAAATCACATTTCCATTGCTACTTTTTAGTGAGTTTTTGTTTGGCTTTGTGTTTTTCCTTTGTTGGGCTCCCAGCATAAATAAAAGATATTTTTAGGTGTTAATACTCAGAATCTGTGTTCTGTATAGATCCTAATGCTTTTTGGAAGCCTGCAGCATTTTTTCCAAACCTGAAAAACAGTTTTATTTTTCATTCTGTTTCTGCCTGAGAAGAAGCAGTAGGTCATGCCTGGTTTACAATGTGCACACATTGTGACTTTTCAGGTGACATCGTAAGGTGTTTTCAGGAGATGGCTTTTTTGAGGACGCATGAAAAAAGTGCACACTTTTTGTATAAGTCTTTCAGACTAGATACATAGAAATCCAGGATATTAGTGGCATAAGGTGATAGCATGCGATGAGAGTTTGTACTTTTTTTAAATAAAAAAGTGGATAATAATGTTGATTTCTGCTGCCTTATGTCATGTTACATACTCTTTTATTTTTTATTGTAGGTATTTGCTTATAGAATCATAGAATGGTTTATGTTGGAAGGGACCTTAAAGTTCATCTAGTTCGAGCTCCCCTGCTGTGGGCAGGGACACCTCCCACTAGACCAAGTTGCGCAAAGCCCCATCCAACCTGGCCTTGAACTCCTTTGGGGATGGGGCCTCCACAACTTCCCTGGGCAACCTATTCCACTGTCTCACCACCCTCAGAGTGAAAAATTTCTTCCTAATATCTATTCTAAGTCTCCCCTTTTCCAGTTTGAAGCCATTACCCCTTGTCCTGTCATTACATGCACTTCTAAGAAGTCCCTCTCCAGCTCTCCTGTAGGCTTCCTTTAGGTACTGGAAGGCTACAGTAAGGTCTTTCCAGAGCCTTCTCTTTTTCCAGGCTGAACAACCCCAACTCTTTCAGCCTGTCTTCATAGGAGAGGTGCCCAGCCCTCTGATCATCTTTGTGGCCCTCCTCTGGACCTGCTCCAACAGGTCCTTGTCTTTCCTATTTTGGGGGCTCCAGAGCTAGATGCAGTATTCCAGGTAGGGTCTCACCAGAGCAGAGTAGAAGGGCGGAATCACCTCCCTCGACCTGCTGGCCACACAACGCATTGCCAGCTCATGTTTTGCTCCTCATCAATCAGCACCCCGAAGTCTTCCTCCTCAGGGCTTCTCTCAATCCATTCTCCACCCAGCCTGTATTTGTGCTTGGGATTGCCCTGAACCAGATGCAGGACCTTGCACTTGGCCTTGATGTACTTTGAGGTTGGCTTGGGCCCACCTCTCCAGCCTGTCCAGGCCCCTCTGGATGGCATCCCTTCCCTCCAGTGTGTCTACCTCACTGCACAGCTTGGTATCATCAGCAAACTTGCTGAGGGTGCACTAGATCCCACTGTCTTCATCACCAACAAAGACGTTGAACAGCACTGATCCCAGTACAGACTCCTGAGGAGCACAGCTTGTAACTAGTCTCCGCTTGGACATTCAACCACTGACCACAACTCTTTTGAGTGTGACCATCCAGCCAGTTCTTTATCCACTGAGTTGTCCATATGTTGAATCCATGTCACTCCGATTTAGAGACCAGGGTATCATGTGGGACAGTGTTAAATGCTTTGCACAAGTCCAGGTAGATGACATTAGTTGCTCTTCCCTTGTCCACTGCTGCTGTAACCCCTTTGTAGAAGGCCACCAAATTTGTCAGGCATGACTTGCCTTTGGTGAAGCCATGTTGGCCACTACCAACCACCTCTTCTTTTCCTATGTGCCTCAGCAGAGTTTCCAGGAGGATCTGCTCTGTGATCTTGCTGGGCATAGAGGTGAGTGGCCTGTAGTTCCCTGGGTCTTTCTTTTTTCCCTTTTTGAAAATAGGGGTTATATTTCCCCATTTCCATTCGGCAGGAACCTTGCCAGACTGCCATGACTTCTCAAAAATGATGGATAGTGGCTTACCAACTTTGTCTGCCAGTTTGACTCCATCTGCAAGTTCCCTCAGGACCAGTGGATGTATCTCATCAGGTCCCATGGACTGTGCAACTTCAGGTTCCTCAGGTGGTCTAGTACTTGATCTTCAGTTCTTCATTTTCCCAGTCCTCACCTTTGCCTTCTGCATTATGGGTAGTGTGGTTGCAGTCTTTACCAGTGAAGACTGAGGCAAAAAAGCCGTTGAGTACCTTGGCTTTGTCTCTATTCAGGGTGACCAGGTCTTCTGTTTCCTTCTGGAGAGGGTCCACATCTTCCCTAGTCTTTCTTTTCTTGCTGACATACTTACAGAATTCAGAATTCTGTATGGTTAAAACTTTGTTTATTCAAGAGAACTGTTTGCTGTGTTTTTTTATTCACAGGACAGTGAATAAAATTGCAGGGAATTCACACTAGAATGGAGATTTTTTTGTAATTGTTTTTTGAAAATGCACTGTATAACTTCTTTGTCTCTAAAAGATGTAGCATACATTTAATGTATTTTTGTCTTTTTTTTCCTGTTTTTAAGGCTGATAAAGAATTTGTGTGGTGTCTGTGGAAACGTCTCCAAGTGTCCAGTCCAGATCTTACTCAAGCTGTCAGCTTGGTTGTGGAAAGGTGAGTTTAAAGATTTAACATGATACAAAAACCAAAACCAACCCCCCACCCATGCCCCTGCTGCTGATACCATATGATCTTTTTAATTGAGAAATATGTAGGATTTTAAAAGTGTATTCCAAAAACTCCATTGTTAAATTTTGTCACGACTACCTAGAACATGTTGCAAGTTTCCTTTTTTGGTATAACTTGAAGGATACCTCAAAATCTGTTTTCACTGAGGTTGCTGTGCTGCCGTTGAATTAAATTTTTAAATTATAAATATACTGCATATTCTGTTTTTCTATTGAAAGAGCAAGAGGAGGTAAATCACGCTTTCTGGTGTCATAAGTGGTTGGATAACAGTTACATGTATAAACTATGTTTACCTGCATTCTTAAAGAAGCAAAAGGCTAAGACATGGTAACAGAAGAGATGACTATGCAGTTTAATGATTACTCCTCTAGGAATATTAATGATGACATTTCCCTCAAGGTACTGACGTATTATCATCTGATTACTATAAAGATTAGTCAATCATCACAATATGTGATTGATTTAGAATGCTAATATTTACAAATTCAGAATTGTTGTAGGCCAAAGACAAGGAGAATGTGGTTAAGTTGGTAATGTGACTGTCAAGATTCAAACAATTCTCTTATGATCAAAAGATTTGTCTGTTCTGTCTCTCAGGGTGCCATGAGCTCCCTCTTTTAAAATGAAAAAGTGGATTCTTTAAAAAGAAAAAATGGATTTTAACTTCTTTAAATGGCTTGCCAGCGTTACTTGGGAAGCTTGTCATAGACCCAGGAGGGGTCCTCGCTCCTCTGGGTTCCTATTCAGTGCTTTGATCTTAAAAGGCATGTTTTGTTTGTTCACATCTTTCCTTTCTGAACTTGATCAGTAAACGTTCTTCCACTTCTGCAAATACAGCATTAAATTCTTTAACTATAGTGTTGTCCCATCTTCTGTATTGCATAAAGCAATGGAAATTTTGTCCAAAAATGGGGTGTGATCATGTAACTAAAGCTAATATTCTAAAGCATTCATATCCAGGGGAAGAAATTGAAGCTGTAAGCACATGCAGCTTGTTTTAAGACGGCTGTTACCTGAGAGTTCACATGTGATCACCAGTGATGATGTCAAATAATTTCTGGCTCTGTTCTGGGACACTTGCCTGCAGAGAGTATTAGCTTGGCTTTTAGGACAGTGTACTGCTTTCACATGCTTGCATGTTTTGATTTGGGGAGTAAATTTAATATATGAGGAAGACTTAGGTAGAGATTTCCAGCATCCCTCATTTATGTTGAAATGTAGATTCTTACTGACTTGTTTCATGATAAAATTTGGTTGTGTTTTCATGAGGACGGTGGTGGTAGTATCGATCTTCCTTCTTCAAACATTAAAAAAATGCAAGAACCGCTTAAAATACATAAATATACTATTTAATCTGTGTAAACATATACTATGCGTATATAAGCATATTTAAAACATAAAAAAATTGTTTTGCCTTAATCACATTTTACAGATAGCTGAACAATGTGGAAATTCTTAGCTCTTTCACATGAAGCTTAATAAGGTGGAGATAGAGGTGTTCAGGCTTATTCACATTTTTTATTTTTGTTGCATATAAAAAATAATCAGGATATTTGGACAAATTGAAGCATAGAGATGTTAGCAATCACATTTCAATAATGGTGAATTATTTGGAGTTCTTGAATTGTGTGTCTGTATGACATATAGTCTGTCATCTTTTTTTATCTTTCGTCAAATGTAGGAATATTTTTATGCTTGGTAGTTGTCCTTTGCTTTAAATTATTTTATCCTTCATTTAGAACAGAAATTGATGATTGTGCGTGCATTGTCCTGATTGACACAATTGACATGGGGCTCTTAGATACCACCTTGATGCCCACAAGCATGATACTGAGCTGATTTTTTTTTTACAATGGTAGGAGATGTTTGTGAAACCCTTTCAATGTAGTGTTCAGCCTATCAGAAGACTTGCTACAGAAATCTGGTGTATAATCATAGTCTATTATATAAGAAGGTAAAGATATATTCTATGTATGTGCTTTGCACTTTGTGTAGAGGCTGGTGGTTGGTACTCTTATGTGAAAGCGTGACAACATACTTCTGTTGAGGTGCTTGTCTGTTTTTTTTATGTGCTCTCTTCTTTCAGAAGAACACTAATAATTTAGAGCACTTCTCTTGAACTCAAGGCTATACATCTAGATCATACCTTTCCCATGCTTCTCAGAGTTATGGAATTAAGAAAGAAGAAATTGCTTCCACAGCATCTTTTTAGATGTTACCATTACCCTAGAGAATCTTGGAACAGGTTTTGATAAAACCCATTCAGTGCATAGGAGTTTTATTAATCATGACTTTGAACTTTGGAGTTGCTTTGATATGACAGATGGAGCAATAGTGTGTATTTTTCTCTTTAATTGATGTATCTTCATCTCTTTTGCCTGAGAATGGTCTAATTGCTGCTTTGGAAATAATTTCTAGCCCAGCTTTACCTGTGAATCTTCTGCAGAACCAAACTACAGCCCTGTATATTCTCTCCCAACTTTTCCAGCTACAACTTTCCATAATCTTTTCTGAAATAGCTTGTGTTTCATGACTGTACCTCCTCAAACTATCATCCTTTCAGAAAAGTTTTTGTCTTATTCCCTACCTTCTAGCAGTAAATGTTATTATTTTTTTGAATATTGCTATATTGTCATTTTTTTTCAGTTCCAATAGGTTGATTAGATTTCCAGAGAATCTGCTACCTAGCACTGCTACTGCCTGGAAAACTACAGGACAAGTGATTTTTCTGGCTTTGTTAATCTAGGAAAAGTATGTGGTTCTTAAGGGTGAAGAGATGGGATTACCAAGTAACAGTTAGAAGCAACATGCTTCCTGAAGCACGTCACTTGGCAGATCTGTGCTACTCACAGCCTATTTTTCTATATTTTACATGGTTGTATCAGACAACAGCTAGAAACTGAATATTTACACTAAAATCTGATAAAAAACACCTTAAGTCTTCTTAGACTTTTTTCCCTTCTTATCTATTAGGAACAACATTGACCCAGTTGTATTGAAGTTGATAATGTTTTCCATCTTGCCCTGGCATACTAGGAGATTTTCAAATAGATACAGACAGAATGAAATGGATTTAAACCTTTTGTTGTTTCTGCTTGTGACATTGATACCACCAGTGTTTGCATAACTTAATTTTTCAGTGTGTTCTTTCGACCAAAAATTCCACGGCCAAGAAACTTTCAGCGTCCACCAGGTCTTTGTTATAGACTACTTGAGATCGGAAGCCAGGTACATAATGGAAGCAGGCAGAATCTCAGAAAGTGTAGTCGTGTGTATCCCAGGTCATATATAGAATGAACCAAACGATATAGTCCAGTGGATTTCAGTCTTTAAATTGAGGAAAGCAACAGCCAGACTTTCTTCAGGAGGTTACAGTGACAGGAATAAAAAGAGGCAGGTGTGAAAGAACAAAATGTTCATTTACAACCTTGTACACCATGGATCTGTGATGAAGAAAAAAAGAAATTAGGAAAGATTGAGTGGGCAGTACTAGCCATACAGTCAGATAAACTATATTTGTAGCATTAATTTATATTTGTAGCATTTGACAATTCCTTATAGTATCTTTGTCTCAAATAAACCAGGAAAATGTAAAAGGCATTATTTGAGGGACATAGTGGGGAGTTAATAGTAGGTTTCTATTATTTGTCTGCTATTTTGAAGCGCTTTCATGGTCCCAAAATAGAAGTTTGCCTGCCCTAAAATTGTAAAAATGTAGCTGGTACCTTTTTATGGCTGTGCTGTTGATTCCTGCAATACACCAATGATATTTCACTTTTCAGCAGTCTTTGCAGTTCTTGCTGGATAACTGTAACTATATTCCCATTTTAATATTCAGATATAAACAAAAAATTATCTTTACTGTGCAAATGAGAAATGCCTTTGGGATATGTAAAAGCCTCCAGGTATTTTCAAACAAGCCATTGTAAAAGTACTACTCATGTTAGTATACTTTCTAGCTACTTTAAATACTATTGATCTCAGTATTATGTAAAGAGCATGCTATTTCTAGTTCACTGCCTTTTGAAACATTTTTTTTTTTTGATGATGAGTTAAAAAAAAAAGTGCTAGAAAGTATCTTTTACAGGTGAATGCATGTGCAAACTCAAATAGAGTTAGGGTTCAGATGAGAGTGTCAAAGGTTTTGAAATATTTTTGTAAACTTTGAGAGCTCTCCTTTAAGACTTTTCTCATATAATACATGAAATCTTGACAGGTCAACTGACTCTAATTTTCCTCTAGGGCTTCTAGCTGACTCCTTTCCTTTCTTCTGGAAGGGAGATGTAGCAGGATCCACTAATGATTAAATTGTGGCAGTGATACAAAACTTGGTAGGTGTAAATGGGGATTGTATTACATTAGATGATACCATTGCAGATAGTTACATTTGGCAAGCTTGCCTTACATAAATGTTTTCCCACACCTAAATTCCAAGCGTGCTATTTCTTGATTATCTTGTTTGTATCTTAACAAAGAGCAAGAATGGATTTATTATTTCAGGCCACTCAAAGAAATAGTGGCAACCTGAGTGTCAGTGCCAGTGATTAAGAGAGAGTTTTGTTGTTATTCCTACTCGGGAGTTGCATCTGTCTAAAGGTGTACAAATAGACAAAAACATGGCAGAAGAGCAAGTGACGAGAAATAACCATAGAATTTTTGGAAAAGTAATCACAGGAACTTGTGATGTGGTTTGCTACATCCTGTAAATAGTAAACTGTGGAAGAAGCATTAAACAGGTTGACATAGATTCCTCACTGACTGATGATATATTTATGTACTAAAAATGACAAGTACTTCCATGTAAAAGGGTAAGTGAATGTACTGTATGAATAAGCAATATAGATTGCTGATGTTAATTGAAAAATAATTAAAAAACCTGTATCTTGCATCTTTTGAAGGGATGATAAATAGCTTGCAAAAGTTTT